ACTGCAGACTCTTTTATCTGTTATAGTGAATGAAATATTGTCACAGTCGTTCCCCAGTGTTCTGAACCCTGGTTTTCATCAGAGCTTATTTCAGTGTATGCAGGCCAGCAGAGGGCAGCCAGAGAGAGCAGATCTTCTGATCTGCAAGCCAGCCACACAATTATCTTTCTGCTGTGTCAGGGGAGAAATTGGATTAGAATATGATTGTAAGTGTATAAATGCTCTCTTTATTGCATCTTTAAAGGTCCTTGAAGCTTGGTTTCAGATCTCCTGCCAAGCAAGCGGATCTAACGGCTTACTTCTGGATCAGGCGAGGGTGGTGATGTCTGATGCACACATGCAGGGCTGATCTGACCTTTGCAGGGAGGGTGCAGCTGTTGTTCAGACTCTTATTATTAATCAAACAATAGGAGGGAGTCATAACTTCTTTACTTCTTATGGACTTTGTGAGTATTACATACAAGACGAATGACTGCTTTGACTGTATTTTACTTACAACCATAAATTAAGTTATTGATTAAACACTTTGAAGCACACAATCTCCAAAATATAGCACATCTAACACTTTGCAAGAATATAGAGACAAACAGTAGTTCTCCAGTAGTCCTGTGTATAGGACTGGATGTTTTTTTTCTATGCCTTGCCATTTATCTGCTATAGCTACATATTCATATTTTAAACAATAATTTGTTCTCAACTTGTCCAAGTTCATGCATAATCAAAAAGGAAACTTGAAAAAAAAAACTTTAGAAAGTCAATAGAAATATTGCAGAATGACTAATACATATTGAGTTTAGCAGCTGGAATTATGTCAGGCTACAGACCTGCATGTGCACATGTGCAGCATACTAGCAGATTGTTCTTTATGCATATGACATATGCACATGACCGCAGATCCCCTGCAGTCTGATCATGTGTTTACCCAGTTGTTTCTCATGGTTTTAAGCATAAATGTTCAACGCATACTTTTTCGATTTTTTGAAATAATTGCTTCTGCTTGAAACAGATGTTTTACAGTTTTACTACTAAACCTCTTTCAAAACACCAGCTAAATAAAGAGCGGGATATTGAAAGAGAATGAAAATGTCTGGGAGTGGAAAAGGAGGATGACTGGATAAAAAAAAAAGGGGGGACAAAATTGGAGCAGATAATTTATTCTCTGAGGGTCTTTAGGAAAAACAAACAACACAAGAAGAAATGTTCAAGTCATCACCAATAGATGGAACAAGTAGGGCACAAACTACTCATACTACAGCAAAAACAGGGATGGAAAAAAAGCTTAATAAAATCTGGACGTGAAAGACATGAAACTAAATGCTTTTAAGTTAAGTTTTTATATACTTTCAAATCGTATGTGATGGGATACTATTGCACATGGCTGGTGAAGCATGGTGGTGGCAGCAACATAATGGGGGTTGCTCTCTTCATGAGGGACAGAAATGGTGTTCAGAGGAGCTAAATAAAAGGAAATGTTGTTTGCCATTGTATATATGTTATTTTTTTTACATATGAGGTAGATATAATAGCTGATTATTTTGCCTTCGGATTATTGCCCATAGTCTGAACAACATTCTGAATCCTCAAACAGAGGATGAAATGAAAACTTTAGGTTTGCTTCTGCAAGTTGATTTTTTTTTTTCTCTCAGAATCCAGCCCTCTGTCGGTGCCTCACATTGTGCTGCAGAATGAAACAACTTTTGGGATTAAACAGAAGCACATGATGATTCAACCCCGTGATTTGTAAGGGAGAGCCGCCTCATGGACTCAGTCATTTCCTTCTTTCTTTCTCTTTCCCTTTCTTCTTCCTCCTCCTGTGAATCGCCCTGATGGCCTCCCCGCGGCTGGAGACCTTCTGCTGCCCGAACCGGGACGCTGCCACGGAGCTGGCCGTCTCCTTCCAGCCGCTCCTGTTCGGGGCTCTGAGTCTGGCCAGCGCTGGACTCAGCCTCATATTCGCTGTTCTCCAGGTGCTGCCAAAGCGTAAAGGATACAGGAGACTGGGACAGTATCCTCTGCCCAGGCCCGCCTCCTCCTCCAGAATATTGCTCATCATCAGTGTCTGTGACATACTGGGATGCACAGGTAAAACAGAAAGAAACAAACAAGAGGCAGATGACCTAGTTTTTTTCAGCTGTGTTTTTTTATTCTCTCTCTGCTTGGCTATGGTTTTAATTACGCACAGGAATAGTTTATTTTAACCCTTTTTTTGCCCCGCGAAAAGAGAAATTTTAAAAGCTTCAGTTTCTCGTATTGTCATGTAATAAAATATATATCAATCAATCAAAAAAAAATATACATATTTATTTCTTTATTCATTTGCATATAGGCTAGTGAGATATTTGCTTTTTTTTTGTTTTTTATTATTATTATTCCTTTATTTAACCAGGAAAAGTCCCATTGAGATTAACAATCTCTTTTTCAAGGGAATCCTGGCCAAGACAGCAGCAAAAGATTACATTACAAATTACATTACAGTTTACAATTACATCTATCTATAATTGGAATTCATAAAACAGTTACAAACTATAGATCTCATTTGAGCAATAGTTTAAAATGTCCGATTGGAATCA